TTGCAGAGAATGAAAATAAGGAACAGAATTTAGCTTATATGAAGCAGGATATGGAAATTGTAAAGAGAATGAGTAAAATAAAGCATAAAATTGCGGTTATGAGTGGAAAGGGAGGGGTAGGTAAATCTACAATAGCAGTGAATTTAGCAGTAGCCCTCTCAAAAAAAGGTTATCGGACAGGTATTTTAGATATAGATATTCATGGCCCCAATGTTCCCCGAATGCTAAAAATTGGAAAAAAAGATCTGATAATAAGTGCTGAGGGGATCGTACCAGTAAAGGTGGGAAATTTAAAAGTAATATCTGTACAATTGCTTTTACCGGAAGAGAATTCGCCAATAATCTGGAGAGGTCCTAGAAAGACAGCAGCTATAAGACAATTCCTGGTGGATGTATCATGGGGAGATCTTGACATATTAGTAATTGATTGTCCTCCTGGTACTGGTGATGAGCATTTAACAATTTTACAGTCAATACCCTTTTTTGATGGGATAATAATGGTCACAACACCGCATGAAGTTTCATTAGACGATGTTGAAAAATCCATAAACATGGCTAAGCACCTGAAAATTAAAGTATTGGGAATCGTAGAGAATATGTCTGGTTTTGTCTGTCCCGAATGTAAAACTGAGATACCGATTTTTGGAAGTGGTGGGGGCAATAAAATAGCATCAAAAACAAATATACCTTTGTTAGGTAATGTACCAATCGATATTGCATCTAAAGAACTGGAAGATGTTTTATTAATTGAGAATGGGGAATCAGAGACCTCAAAAAGGTTATTAAAAATTGTAAATAAGATAGAAAACATAGTACTAAAAAGGGAGGAATAAATATGAAAGTGGCTGTAACATCAATAGGAAATGGTTTAGATTCTGAAATAAGCTCTGTATTTGGAAGATGTCCCTATTTTATTATTGCAGATATAGAGGATGGGGAAATCAAAGGTGATATTGCTGTGGAAAATCCAGCAAAGAATGAGAGCAGGGGTGCGGGGATTAAAGCAGCACAGTTTATAGCAAATAAAGGAGTAACAGTCCTAATCTCCGGAGCTGTGGGCCCAAACGCATTTGATATTTTAAAACAGGTAGGAATCAAAGTCTATAAACTTAAGTCCGGCAGTGTAAAAGATAACTTAGAAGAGTTTATCGAGGGAAAATTGGAACAGATAACTTCATCTTCTTCTT